ATAAACCTGTTAATGTACGCATTCAAACACTTGTTCTGTTACCAGCTGTATTCACCTTGCAGGTGCAGCTATGTGGCTTTGATCCTGGAGTCATGGATGTTTAAAGTTTAACTTCTTCATATGTCTAATATTATAGTTGACTTTTCATTCAGGAAGTATGACGCTTTGCTGTCAGTACGCTTCTCCATGTTTGTGATTGGTCGAATGCTCCAGATACCACCCCTTTCATGTGAACGTGCACCTAACTAGATAGGACACGGCTGGCTTGAGCGATCGAGTTGATAGCCAGCGTTGTAAAGTTTAGCGAGAGCGGGTTTGTTTTGGATTAAGTCAACCGGATAACTCAAAACATATCCAGGATATGATGAACTAGATTCGTAGTATAGGCCCCAGGTTAGGTTGCAGGCTAACCCCTAGTTTCCACCGCATTGAACCGATAATACTCTTTATAATCTCTTTTTCAAGACACATTTTGGGAAATAGGGGAAACGGCCCCTTTGCGGATCGCAGAATGCTTTTCTCTGACTGTTTACATTTTTAAGGTGGTCTTTTTGGGCTCGCCATCTTCTAACGTTACACTCAGTGACACCATCTTTCTTTGCTGCTCGACAGTTGTTTGATGACTTCGCTGATCACCATTATCTTAAAATTGGCATCGTAACTTCGCCTCTCTTGTTTATTAACTTGCCTACTTTTGATCCACTTTGTTGGAGTTGGTCTCTGTGTTTCTCCATCTCTATCTCTCCTGTTGTACTGTTACTAAGACGGTGTCCCACTTGGGGAAACACTCGTCTGGCACGATCAGTTGTTGTGACTGTGTAAATACATTAAAAAGTCTAGACCCCGAATATAAGTATTTTTCAGATTTTTTTACAGGAAAAAAAACCTGTCTTATATTCGTGTCAATACGGTACTGAGGAAATATACATTTAATATTTGAATTCTCCAACATACCTGTTTAAAAGCCAGGGTGCTTTGGTGCAGGACATGGCGGCTCGGAGTCTGGTGGCTTCAGATGCTAAAGTGGCGTTTTTGAACATTTCCCAGGCAAAGTTCCACTCCTCCACACCTCCAAGAGCTATAGCATGGCAGTAAACTGTGCTCTTCAGGTTGGGATGGATCCTAGTCAACATTCAGGTAAAAATAACCAGAAGATTATTCAAAAGAATGAATCTTGAACACAATGATAAGAATGCTACTGCTAACGTTTGTATAGTTGTTTACCTAGCTAACTGGGACAAATATACACAAACTATACAAACCATTTTTAACCATGCTATACGGCTTTTGGGAGAGAATGTTTGGCTGTTAGTCTGGCTAAAATGTGCATGAATTGCCATAAAATTTGGTCCCCAGACATTAGTAATCCCCTGGCTTTTCATCTACACAAAAACAAATGCCACATAACTACATTGCTAGCTACATGCTGCTAAAGTCTGTTGAGTCGTTTCAATAGCTACTGTAGCTGGGACGAATGAAGACAAACAGCCAAATGTGTTCATATATGAAATCCTAAAATAGATGTAAGTGGTCGTTACTCACGGGTTTAATTGTGGATTTTCCATCCACTCTCCAAACCAACTTTGGATTAGCTCCCTGCAGCCCTTCACCCCCATAGTGCATGCCATTCCAATAGCATTGATCTCATTATACCTGAGAAGGGAAATGGTAAAAAAGAAAATGCAATATAGTACGACCAAACCAAATGTTCCTGAGACAAAACATTTAATATTGCATTGAATTAAATTGTGTCACCAAAGGTAAGTCACCTGCTTCTAAAAAATACATCTTCTGGTGCACGAATTCTTACTGGTCAGTGTGTCCTGTTGGTACTTTGGTCCAGTTAGCTGTAATCATCTTGAAGTACTCAAACAATGGTTCGACTTGTCGCTTGAAGTATGGCTAAAATGAAGATATATGAGTAACTGTTTGAGGTCCACTTGATGTGCACTTTATTCTTCTCATTCTGCAGCTAGCAGCAGAAATGTAAAAAGACAGAGTGGTGCAGTGATGACCTATTTTATAACTTAGCATTGCAAGAGCATCTTTGACAAAAAGCCGATGGGACTTTTCCATTGGATTTCGGAATATTGCAGAAAATAAGATCTATGGCCAACATAGCTTTATGATACCTACACATTTTGTTTAGCAGGATAATATCCACATATTAACAACACTTGAACGGGTTTTGAATCGTAATTGCAAATATCCAAATGGAAGAAGCCAAGGGTAGGCTTTACTAAAACGACATCACGGTCACATGACTTCACGTCACCACCGCTAAGCTAAAGGCGGCTAACGTTGGGCTATAAAGGCATAGATATATATAAACACCGTGTTTATATATATCTATGTATAAAGGAACTACAGCACGGTCACATGACTTCATGTCACCACCGCTAAGCTAAAGGCAGCTAATGTTGGGCTATTTGGAACTACAGCACGGTCTCATGACTTCAGGTCACCACCGCTAAGCTAAAGGCAGCTAATGTTGGGCTATAAAGGAACTACAGCACGGTCACATGACTTCACGTCACCACCGCTAAGCTAAAAGCGGCTAATGTTGGGCTATAAAGGAACTACAGCACGGTCACATGACTTCATGTCACCACCGCTAAGCTAAAGGCAGCTAATGTTGGGCTATAAAGGAACTACAGCACGGTCACATGACTTCAGGTCACCACCGCTAAGCTCAAGGTGGCTAATGTTGGGCGTGATGAAATTTAGTCGTGTCATTTAGACACTTGTTAGCGACCTCTGTTTTTAAACTCACCAGTGGGGGATCTACTGACATA